AGAGATCCAAGGACGAATAAGGAGTGTCTGTAATGTTCAATTTTCAATTGCTTTTAATAGTCTTTGAACGACCAACCTTGTAGATCCTTTAGGAGTTTTTAGGAGCTTAGAGGGGTCTCTGAGACTTTTTAAGAAGTCTTTAGGAGCTCTTAAGACATAGGTAGTTTCAAAGCGGTTTCTACATGCTTTAGAGCTTTTACCTTTCGTGTTTAAGAACTGAACTTTTAGGTGATTTGATGAATAGCCAATAGTCTTAAAGGGTCTCCAAGTGTCTTCGAGGATTTTTAAGAACTTTCTTTAGAGCCTTTTAAAAATTTCTACAGAGTTGTTTTGAGGGTTTTTCCGAAAGCTTCGATGAGACTTTACCCATAACCTAAAATCGTAGATATGAAAGAATGAGAGGGAGAATTAAAAGAATGACACAAATAACAACACAATGAAGAATGAGAAAAATCCGAATAATAGAAAACATTAGGGAGTATTTGAAGGGCTCCCATAATCTGAAGAAATACAGAATGAAGAATCTTAGGAAGCTTAAACATACGAAGATAGGAAAAATTCTAAGATATGGAGGAATCTTAAAAGATCTGTACACTTTAAGAAAAATTGAAGAAACTATTCGAAAATAAATAAATAAATAAATAAATAAATAAGAAAATGAAAAGTAGACATAAGGTCTGATGAAACTGAAGAATCGGAAGAATCTTCTTACCTGAACAAATTGAACTCAGAATTCCATGAAACGAAAAACATACACACAACCTAAAACTGAAGATATGAAAGAATGCATAGAACCTAAAATATCTGAAGAATTAAGAATTAAAAAGAAGAAAAGAAACTGGAGAATGAGGAAAATCCGAATACTATAGAAAGATAAAAACACTCGAAGCATTAGAAGGCTAAAAAATATTCACAATATGGCGAATCTGAGGAATTAGAAGAATGCAAAGGAAGAATTTGAAGACTATAAAAAATCAGTCTCCTGTATCTAAAAATTTGAATAATCTGAACGGATGGCGATAATTTGAAGAATTTTAAGAAACTGACCATACTAACAAAGGAAAAATTATAAAACATGCGGGAATCTTAAAAGATCTGAAAACTGGGGAGAAAGTGAAGAATCTATTCGAAAATAAAGATTGAGAGAATCAGAAGTAAACGTAAGGTATTTGAAGAACCGGAAGAATTGCTTAGATCTCAGTTTCAACATCGATATCGAAGTGATAAATATGCGCGCTTGTGTTATAAGTAAGTCTTATAAATGTCTCTGCAAGGAAGTGCTAAAAATTGAAATGTTATAAATCAAAATCAGAGTGACTCATACACTGAATATTCTAGATTGTTTCGGACCCACTGCGCCATAATGGCTCCGTTTTGTTACAGTATCAATGATAGGTATAGAAACATTTTTCTCTCGTAGGACTCGCATTGTTGGTAAGCCCTCCGGAATGATCACAATTGTAAATTTATTGCACCTAATTCCATCATCAGAAAATTGTTTCATTTGTTTCGCGAATAAAAGATAATTAGAACCGTAGTCATTTCGGCGGTAGTTCGCGTCGAACGATCTAATTATAACTTTAATTTTGTTTTTATCAAATTTATTCCCGCTTTTGATGAAATTTCACCGACGGGCCTAATCTAAAATTTTATAACTATTTGCATTATTAACGTTACGCTCCTTTGCGAGCACGCGAATCGCGGTAGTAATCGCCGATAAGGAACCTCAGGAAAACCGCCGTAAATTAAATTATCCATTTGTTGTACCCGCAATAAGTTTGTTGGTCTTATCATGTCGGTTCTCTAAATAAATAACTCGGAAGTTTGTACGCGGCGTTTTCCACAATTTATGGCCAGGTCGATATTTTCGAGGTTTCCAGGTGATTTACGCCAGGAGTTCGTGAATTTGTTCGATGCAGGAGATGAACGTTTGAAAAAAAATTGAACGCCCCCGGGTGGGCTCGAACCACCAACCTTTCGGTTAACAGCCGAACGCGCTAACCAATTGCGCCACGGAGGCTTAATGGACGTGCACGTCTGAGATGTCAATGCTTTTCTTAATTGTACCTAATTGGCTTTTTCTATAATAACTGGGCAAATAATTTATAACTAAATTAAAGTGTATTTCCCTAGGTATTTCCAAACATTTTAAGATCATTAATTCGTAGAATGTATAGTTTAGTTATATCCAATATAATTTTTGTTGCATTGAATACACTGTGACGCACCCAGACCTGCATATAACAATAGGCTGGGAAAAAAAGAACTGACCAAGAAAAAAACCAGCCAACAAATTAATACTAAACTTTATAGCATGAATGCATATTATGATGGTTGTCAAGTAAATCACTATAATGTCGAATCCCCGGCTCCACTGGGATTCCTAAAGAATTAATATTTGATACCCATAACATAAAAAAACAATTATTAAAACATTACAATAAATTCACATAATAAGTTTGGATATTGGGTGGCCAGTCCAAATTCCACACTTAGTAGTCTAGTTGCTCTGATGTCAGAATTGTATGAAAACGCTAGGAGTTGGCTTCTCAGAAGAGCATTTCACACAGGAAGGATATCGCAATTGATACAAAAGGGCACAACGAGAACGTAATCTTTTAGCAGATCCCTGTGAAGGTGTGGCCGGGCTTAGCCAGCGTCTCCTTTCTACTTTAAAGTAATTAATTCTCAAAGCCAAGTGCAACAATCAACGATCTAACGTACTTCACTCGCCTCTAGATGAAGCACCCTGTAAATAAACAGTAACATATTCATGCAAAAGAGAGGCAATATGCTGCAAGAAGTTTAATTATAGATTGACAATGTAGTGTCGATGTTTCCAAATACCTACAGCACGAACTCCTATTGAATATCATCCCTAAGAGAACATCTGTATCTAAATATCAATAAAAATACGTAAATCTGTCAGGAATTCATATTGCGGGTTGGCAGGTAAAACCAACACTAGGAACAGAGGGACACTGTAAATTGGAAAACAACATATTTACTTTACGTAAAACATAATAGAATCTTGCCGTAAGTATCTCTATGTATTTAATTTAAAGTATGATCCTCATAATTATAAAAGGGCAATTTGTATTTAGAATGCGCTATAAATGACAATACCCATGCTGTACTGGAATGCCGTTAATTTGGCAAATAATCTAACACGATCATATAATATAATTACTAGATGGATGCTATAAATGAAAGATAAAAGGAATACGTCACCTAGTAATTGTCGAAGCTGCACTCACTATTCGAAACGTAAAAATTACCTCTGCCTTCTACAAAAGCATAATACATCTCCTCTAAAATTCCCTTTTTGGTAAAAACGAAGTCGAGACATTTAAATCGACGCGCTCGAAGTCGTCGGGTCGATATGGATCATTAACTTCCCTCGTATAGCATTATGCTTGGCACTTTTATTGTAAATTATGGCTCATTTGAATGTAGGGCAGAGAGAAAAAAAAACGTGTTCCACGGAAACGAAACAAAGCGCGCTCTTGAATTCTTTAGTGGCGGCCAGGGGCGGCTTCGGGAATATTTAAATCGAATTTTAGCGGTCAAATTCGGTTCCATTACTACACAGAATGCTTATATTGCAAGCCTCACCAAGTGAATAAAAATAATGCCTAATTTTTTTATTTTTCGAGAACTCGGGAATAAGCGTTTTTTAGCGTCGACTTTTTAACGAGGCGGTTATGCTTTCTCTCAATCGTCCGGACGCTCGCTCACTCGATGGCTTCATGTCCATCAACAAAATATATCTAAAGTATTTTCAAAGATTTTTCAAAAATTTCAAAAACGGAGCAACTTTGTAACCAATTAACCTACACTGTAGCTCTCACCGTTACGGAGATCCTATGGTGAGCCAAATGCCCTTTGTTGGTACCCGCTTCTGACGTCCCGTTCACCCGAAATTCGCATTCTAGTGTATTTCGCTAAAAACAAATAGTATTGAATATTTGAGGTACTTCTCATTGCTCGATACGAGAAAGAGCGACCACGATTTAAGCTTTAAGAAAAAAATTCCGTCACTCAGAAGTCGTGCGCGTTCACAAGATCTTTCCAATTTGAAAACAACCGGACCAAAACTTTAGAAGAGCGGAAGAGACTAAAAAATCACCACGTTAGTATAACACGCTCGGGGATGGCGCCCAGATGTCACCGTCCCCAAAGTTGTTAATTACACGGCCCACGTGCACTCCTCGTCTCCCTACAAGCGATCTTCTGTTGGGCCGTATTTGCTCCCAGCCCGCCAGCCGGCCAAAGTGAGACTAAAAGTTACCTTTTTAAAAGAAATTTGCAAAAATGACGGTGTCATTATGGCAGATTTAGCAAGACCAATGGGATGCCATTATAATATATATACAGTGTGTCCCAGGTAGAACGCACCATAGGGAAACGGCAATGTTGCGAAGGATCCACGAGGACTCGGATCATTGCATTTTCTACAGAGCGGTATACGAGTGGTTTTCTTTCGCAAACTTGAGCGACGGCAAATTAATTTTGGTGTTACAGTCGTGCTATCAAAAATAGAAAATCCAATTTCGGACGAAATAAAATATTCCACGCGTGCATTACGTGTTTCAAAACCGTGCATAAGTTGAGGAAATTCGAACTCATCAAGAAATCTGAAGCGGTATACAGCCGGTAAGGGAAATTCTTCTACATTTTTCAACAAGACTGTTTACTTCATATACCACGAATACAAACTTCGACCTGGGGGAATCCTGAATCAGGACAATGTCTGTGGGAATCTCGACACCTTCAGGAGAGGAATAGTTAGAGATATTGCACAAAACTTGATTGTCCCATTGTTTGTCAATTTTGATTTTATTTTATTAATTTAACCATTTTAATTGAGATGGAATAATCAATTTAAATAGTGCGACCACCCATTATATAACGTTAAGGATTACTTGTTGTCTAGAACCTCCGCTGTCAGCCTTATCGAGTGATATTTTTATGCAAAAAAAAACGACTAAAATACAAACCTTTCTCGGATTAACGAGATGACCGTAATGCAATGGTGCAGCTATAGCATAGTAACGATCACAATTAAGTCCACAAATCGTCCAAAGAACCATGGGGTGCAGAATTGTAAACAGAAATCCGTGTAGGGCGCACGGGGCGCCGCTGGACAGCCAGTTGCTTCTCGTCAGTCCAGGCGCGGAGAAAGCCAAAAAAAGTAGGGCCAAGACGGTGTTTAGCGCGCCGAGATGCAGCAGCAATATGTTGTTGGCCGTTGCTGCCTGAAAAGATAACTGTAGTTATTGCGGTTTTGTGCGGACTTGGCTTGTTGTCAATTTAAGTCATTGGAATAAAAAGTTACATAGTAGGATTTTACTTAGTTTGCGCGCACGTCATCGCTGTATTGTGACGTCATCATTAAGTATGTTTACATAGCATTATGCAATCGATGGAGGAGAATATTTTTATGAGCGGCTATACAGACAGTGCGGCATTGCGGGTAAGATACCCATTACATTAACGACTTCGATTGACCAACGACACCATTATTTGGATGTAAAGGAAAAAAATCATTTTAATTGTATTAACAACGCCCCTCCCCCATTACCTACAAAAGGCACTTTTGTTCATATTTTGGCGTTTTTTCGGAGATGCCCATGGAGTGCCGAATCGCTGCTTGTGCGAAACCATCAACATCGCTAACGGGTTTCCTTCATTGATTTGTTTTTTTTAGGACATTCTAGAGGTTTGCCCGATTTACAAATTTGTGAAATAGGGCACTGTTTGCAGGCTAATATTTAATGTATCCGCAACTCTCTTTGAATTGAATCTTGGTACGAATTCTTATATTACTAAAGTATCCAGTCACCTCTCCCACTGCTGCGAGTGGTAAAAGTGAACCGCCATTATCTCTTCCTCGTTCAAAATAACGATTAGAAATAAGTTGCTTACTTTTTCTTGGTAAACCCGATGGCAACTTTTGGCGCAGAATATCGCAGTGAAACATAACAGAAGTTATAATTATTCGTTATATTTTGTGAAATACATTGATCAGTCTGACATAATTCCAAGGTTTATTGTAGTTTAAAATGATCTTTTTCTTAGTACGTTGGTATTCCCCAAAAACAAAATTGATGACGTGGGTGCAGTAAGGAAAATCCTACTTTTAGATTTTACTGTAAAATGTACATTTAGTAAAGTATAGTCAAATTGGGAGTTTTTTTAAGAACATTTGAGGAGGTGATTTTTCGCGGGAATATTTTAATGATCTATCAGGAACTGTTGCTGACCTTTTCAGAATTTTAAAAACGCGTCAAGTTGACCCACATTTGGTTCTTTATTTGCCGGAGCCCTTTCTAAAATTTCTCTTCTTCTTTTAATTACGGCCTCAATCAACGCATAGGGATGAGAAGTTTATGGTCAGTAATTTCGAACAAAAGCCCATTTTACTTAATCCGCAGCAGAATCTGATATACTCGTACCTTATTCTATACTAACCTGCCTTGTAAGGACGACTACGATTAATATGTACGCGTTCAGAATGAGACCAATTAGAGTTGCAATGCTTAAAGGCACCGTCAGTCCTAAAGAGGTCATTCCGGCACCAACCGTAGATTACGTGACGTCCTCCATCATCTCCACTTTTTCCCTGTCGTCCTATAAAGCTCTTGGGAGATTACCTGCAAAGAAAAAGCTTTGATAGATTTTTAATATAATTTACTTCACCTCTTAGACACATACATGGAGTGGTTCGTTATCTACTTTTATGATCGATCGAAGCGCCATTGAAAGCCGTTTTCTAACCGTCAAGGGTTGTTGACGGGCGGATGATGATAAGGGTAAAATCGCGAGCTTGATTCAACAAGTTACAATTTTGTTCAATATGACTTTGTTCAACGTTTCTCATTAATTTACCAAAAGTATGCAATTAATGTAATGTGTTCGGTATCCAACTCAAAGACGGTCTCATCCAACAACACCTAAAATAGGTGTCATTTGACTTTCGAATTTTTATTGTCTGTATACAACGAGGGTTGCAAAAGCTATAAACAAAAAAAAACGCTTCAAGGATCAAATTTAGAACGTTTGCTACTTGTGTCGTGGCATTCAAAGGTGAAAGTCGAGAGTGCTTCTAAGCAATTTCTATTTTGCAAGTAACTCGAGTGATTCTTTAAGAGATTCAGTAATTTTAATTAATCTGATTACGGAAATTCTACAAGAGCCCATATTCGGTTGGGGAAACTCTGATCGAACATAGCCAAGATAAGAGGAGCTTCCCCTGCAGGTGTTGGCAAGTTCGGGAACAAAAAATAGCCACTGGGTGCTAGATCTGGACTACAAGGCGGATGATCAATTTAAAAAAAGCAAAATTGCACATTTAAACTTGCGTGGGATTTTTTAGTTACGGCTCTAGCGCTAGCGGATGTTAATGGATAAAAATTGCCGGTTTTATTAATAAAGCGCCATTTTGGGGGTGTAAGTAGAGTTGCGTCATTACGAGAAAAAGTAGGAGATCCTTCGTCCTAAATTTTTGATTTATGATCCTTCGTTTAGCCACCGAGCAGGAACCCTTTTAATGCGAGTAGTTCAAAGAAAAATCAGTGAATAGAAGATTTTATGCACTCTATGAATTTAATAATCTTTGTAAAGTGCCAAAATAAATAAAATCGTGGGCGAATAGTTCATATTTCAAATCTAATTATTATAATACTGTGCCATATCAGTTACTTTACCGGCCGAACCGTCACTTTACCGACCGTATTTTTGACATTTCCTAATGTTTATAATGACTCCTGTCATCACTGACAGATTGACACTAATCAAAAGTTATATAAAAAATTGAAATTTTGTATTAAAAGACGATTTCGGGTAAAATTTAATACAAAACTCGCCAGTAAAATGGCATTACTTAACTCGGAAATTAAAGTACTCGGTCCCCAAGGGGCCTCGCACTTCAATATTTCCACGCTAGTAATGTATCATTTTCCTGGCTTTTATGTAAATAACTATTGATGTGGTATGTGCTCTTTATGTTTTAGAGAAGATTGCGGAACCGGGGGAAGGGGGGTTATGGAATACCCCCCAGGCAAAAACAACTATAGTTCGTTTCACCAATAATTTAACAGTTCTCATTTGGTCGTAGCGGAAATTCCCACTGCGGCATTTAAAACAATAGGACAATAGCCCCCATTTAACTAAAAGTCAGCGGTTCTCAATAAAATTTTAATGTTTCAAACGCCAAATCGTAGTGCTCGTATAAATCGGCCCATTTCCTTAATAATCGATATATTTGAAATGTAGTTCCTTAAGGAATGCGTCGATAGGACATTAACGACAATAATCGTGTTGATACCATATTACTGTATTCATTAAATAGGTAGACACATTCCAAGTAGTTTCCCCAATTACAATTTGGCGTTTGAAACATTAAAATTTTATTGAGAACCGCTGATTTTAGTTAAATGGGGGCTATTGTCCTATTGTTTTAAATGTCGCAGTGGGAATTCCCGCTACTTAACGACCTAATGAGAAATGTTAAATTATTGGTGAAACGAACTATATTCAATGTTCTGTTCTCTACATCATAATACCTTTGAAAACATACTGGAGGGTATTCCATATACCCCCCCCCCCAGACCCTCCAGTACTACCTTCTCCCTCAAATCACTCAGCCCTAATGACTGATGTGCTATTTTTTCATACAGGAGTAGCAAATTTTCAATGCTCCCCGAGTTCTTGTCGTTACTTTTCCAAAAATTATGGTTTATAGGTTTGTGTGCAGTTCATACTGTGGGGGGAATTGCGGAACTGGGGGAGTCTGGGGATCCAGGTAAAAATAACAATTCAATGTTCCATTTCCCACATCATAATACCTTTGAATATGAACTGGTGGGTATTCCATACCCCCCAGACCCCCCGGTGCTACCTCCTTCCACTAATTATTCAATCTTAAACACTGCAGTGGTATTTTTCACAAAGGGCTACAGAATCTTGCCTTTATGGTTCATCATCACATGACAATACTAGGGCGCATTCCATAACCCCCACACATCTCGGTGCTACCTTCTCCCTCAAATCATTTAGCCCTAAGGACTGCTATGGTATTTTTTGATAAATGACTGGCAAATACTTCACGTGTTCTTGGCGCTACTTTTCCAAAAGTTATAGTTTATGTGGTATGTTCACTTTATGATTCAAGGAGGATTGTGAAACCGGGGGGGGGGGGATGGAAAACCTCCCCAGGCAAAAATATCGATACAATGTTCTCTTTCCTACGTCATAATACCTTTGAATATACATGATGTTACATGACCGCATGTAAAAAACAAGTACAAATTGTGCACCTTGTTCAGGTAAAGCGCATTTTTTTTAAACACCCCTACGAAATTTCTTCCAAGTGGCTATGTATCACATTTTATTTAAATGCCCAATGGTTATATTTCTTCCAAACGTCCCAATCGCCCTGTGTAGGTACTTTCCTTTGACAATTCACTCTTAAGATATAAGGAATTATAACCGATCACGACAAGGGGTCGAGGAGGAAGATTATGGTTAGTATAAATTAATTTCTTTCGTTGAGACCTTTCATTAGAGTACCATGAAGGATAAACTAGTTCCACTCCCTCCCCCCTTCCCCCTCCACCCCGTACTTTGATAAGACGACAAAAAGAAGGGCAGTAGTTTGTAGAAAACTGTTCCTTTCGTTGAGACCTTTAATTAGAATACAATGAGAGATAAAATTAATTTTTAACACCCCCCCCCCCCCCCCGGCCCCGTCGCTCACTGATCTCGAAAAAGAGTCGCACGGGAAAGTTATAGTTTGTGCAAACCAATTTATTTCGATGCAACCTTTCATTAGAATACCATGAAGGGTAGAACATTGTTCCCCCCACCCCCACCCATTTTCTAAAGTTTAACTTGCAACCATTAAAGGCATGCGTGTGCAAAATCTGAGACCAATATTGGTTGTCATATGTAAAAGTTATGCACGTTTTACTTTCAAAAACAGCATCTCAGGAAATAATTCCTGGGAGGCCCTCCTTTTAGGCAGCGGAATTTGATGGCCGTCTGGCACACCTTCACGGTATAGGCTACCTACTGCAAATTCCAGGACTCTAGGACCATTCCCCTAGAAGTAGTTCAAAACGGTAGAAGTGGGTCCGGACGGACGGACGGACAAAGCGCAAACAATAGCACATTTTTCTTAATTTTTAAAAAATACGCTAAAAATCGGGTGATAGAAGGGATCAAGGCGCACTTTTTACAGATAAACCGAGGGTCCAACGTGTGAATTTTCAAAAACTAATTCCAGATTCATCATTTTCATGTTCAAAAACCCCCAGATACCAAATTTTGTCGAAATCAGAATTTTTTCGCAACCCCAAGTAGGGGTTCGCCCCTTTGTTGTAGGAATTGTGGAAAATTTTTTTCAAAATCAGATAGGGCATATCCGAAAACCTATTCAAAGAGGTGTCACCCATCTTCTGATTGCTGAGAAAAAAATGAACTTCTTTGGGGGTGCCTCCCAAACGAAACACGTTGGACCCTCGGTTTATTTGGAAAAAGTGCTTGTCTTGATCCCTCTATCACCCAATTTTTTTTACATGCGGTCATGTAACACCCTGTATACTGGGGGGTATTCTATACCGCCCAGACCCCTACCTACTCCTTCAAATCATTCAGTCCTAAGCACTGCTGTGGAATTTTTTCAGAGAACCACAGAATCTTGCCAAGTTTTCAAAACTCCACGGGTTTTTAGGGTTGCTTTTCCAAAAATTATGGTTTATGTGGTATGAGCTCTTTATGTTTTAGAGAAGACGGCGGAACCGGGGGGTGTGGGGGTATGTAATACCCCCCAGGTAAAAACAACAATTCAATGTTCTGTTATCTACATCATAATACATTTGAATATTATACTGGGGAGTATTCCATACCCTCCAGACCCTCTGGTACTACCGTCTCCCTCAAATCATTCATTCCTAATGACTGCTGTGGTATTTTTTCATAAAAGAGTAGCAAGTTTTCAATACCTCCCGAGACCGGGTGGTTTGGGGGGTATGGAACACCTCCCAGGCAGAAATAACGATTCATTGTTCTCTACATCATAATAACTTTAAATATATACGGGGGGGGGGGGGTCCGCAACCCCCAGACCCGCTGCGATACCTTCTACCTCAAAAACATTCAGTCCTAAAGACTACTGTTACTACAGTACTACAGTACATACTACAGTAATTCTTCCCGAATAACTACAGAATCTTGCCTTCATGGCTAGTTTTTAATAGTCCACGAGCTCTTGGCGCTACTTTTCCAAAAGTGATAGTTTTTGTGGTATGTTCACTTTATGATTTAAGGAGGATTGGGAAACCGGGGGGGGGTCTGGGGGTATGGAAAACCTCCCAGGCAAAAATAACGATACAATGTACTCTTTCCTACGTCATAATAACCCCCTTTGAATATATACGGGGGGGGGGGGGTTATTCTATATCGCCCAGCCCCCTGGTGCTACCTTCTCCCTCAAAACATGCAGTCCTAAGCACTGCTGTGGTATTTTTTCACAGAGAACCACATAATCTTGCCAAGTTTTGAAAACTCTACGAGTTTTTAGGGTTACTTTTCCGAAAATTATGGTTAAATAGTAAGTTCACTTTATGTGTTGAGCAGGGTTGTGGAACCCGGA